TGGAACTAAGATTTCATCTGGCTTGTTTGGAACTTCTTAATGATCTTTTAAATTTGTTTTTAAACATGTTTTACAAGAAATAGTCTTATACTCTGACAAACATAAGATTCTCCTTAGAGCTGCTTGGATCATCCAGAGTGGGAGGTGCTTCAGTCTGTGCTGTTGTAGGCTGAGCTTAATTACTGAGGAACGCTCCACCTTCCATCACATGGCTCCATTACAGCGTCCCCCAGTTTATGCTCAGCCTCGTGAGAGTTAGGCTGTTTCTGATAACGCTCCTTGGCCGATTCAGGATTTCTTCTACAAACATAAGATTTTAAACAAATCTAGGCAAACAACCAAAAAAACCAGGTATTTGCACAGCATTTGCAGAAATATATGTTTAGAAAATTTAAAACTAGGGAAAAGGAAACTAGGAAGTTATTTGCAGAAAGATTGTGGAATTATTATTATTTTTTTGTTACTTGTAAGCTATTTTTACTACTTTATGAGCATATGCGGTTTAGAATAATCAGGATCCTGCTGTTATATTTATTAAAGTCCTGAAATAATAGTTTTACGTAACTTAAAAATACACCACAAATGAGAGGTAGAATGTTAAGTTGCTCTTGATAGAGGTATTAAACATGTCTTATTTGAGAAAAAAGGGAAATAATACAATTACATTGTTATATCTGAGATCAGGAAATTTGAAGAGAAATTTCTTAATTGCACAGTAATGTCTTTCTCACAAGACTGAATTGTCTGTTAGCACTGATTTTACTTTGCGGAGGGAGCTTGGAGAAGTTGTTGTCAGTAAAGTGCTTAACAGATTAATAAACAGAGATTGCATCTGATTTCACATTTGCTTTTTTTCCCCATTTCTTCTATTGAATTCTTGTTCATGCTATACTTTTTTTTTTTAAAAAAAGTGGGTTCATTCTTACTGACACCCTTTCCCGAGTTTAAATATCACTACTGCAGTGAGACTAAAGTTCCATGCTGAATTTCTAATGTATCAGGCAAAGTAATTACAATGAATGCCTAGCAGAATAATTATTTACTTCTAGCCTTAAAACATATTGGGTGTGCTCTAAATCAGTTTATCTTTTTTTTTGCTGGCTTCTACCAGAAATAGCATCTTAGCTAAAAATAGGTACTAGAACTTTGGTGTATGAAAGCGTTGAAACAAATTCTGTTGCCTTACCTTGTTTAGGGCAAGTGTTAATTGTAGAACTTTCTGGGTTCAAAAATATGCTTGTTTTTTTTAGCATTTTATCATTATTGGGAGAAAGCAAGAAAGAGCTCCTGTAGATTCCAAAGATATAATTAACTCTATATTAGAAGTGGACTTTAAACTTGAGTGTGACCAACTGTAGCTGTGTGATACAAACTAAGAAAAATATCTGAAAAGTCTGTATTTTAGATTATGAAGGATTCCTACCCACCATTCACAAACTTTTAAAGCTTTTATTGATGTTATACTGTTTGCAGGGTTGTGAAATGTCAGAGGCTTGTGTGCATAACAGAAATTTATCTCTTGCTCATATTTTTAAACTTCTGTTTTCAACTTCAAGAATCAGTTTCTGATCACAAAAACTATGGCTTATTAAGCCATAAACCATAGACAAAATCAGTTGTTAAGAGGAAAATATGACACGTTAGTTGCTTAAAAATTAATGGACTGCAACTACAGTTTGCATCAAATTTGGGGCAGAGTTGCTCATTATGTTTCATTCATGGAAGGGCATTCTTCACTAAAATGGCTCATATCCTTGAGATTTTCCATGTAATGTTTGAATGAATTACATATCTGTGAAGTAAAACAGAGCATCTGTCAGGTGAACAGACAAAGCCAGAAATGTTCACCTTCCTCATCTAACAAAAAAAAAAAATTAAATAGATTGAAGCATCTGTTTCTGTCCAAAGAGTACATGAATTGGCTGAGAATCTTCAAATTGCTATTTCAGGCATCAGATTGGAAACCCATTCATTAATAAAAATCTCAGTCTGGTAAAAATTTCTTATGAGTAATTGTATTTTATGGGTACAAATTATAAACTGCAAGGAATATAAATAATCTGAAAGGCGCAAAGTACATCAGCAAATAACTAATTTTCCTAGCAAGGATTTATAATTCAGACACATTTATAGTTCATTTCCTTTTCTTAATATTATAAGATAAGTTCATAAAAGACACTATTCTGTGTAGCTTTATCACATTTTCTGCATAGAGAAACTTAAGTGTTCTATGATTCTGATCAACTCAACATCTGATATAGCATGAAATCTCTATTTTAAGAATTTCCTGTGAGATGCATGAGGATATTTCTGAAGTCAGCTTGGGAAAACTTGCAGCAGTTTTCATGATGCTGTTAGACTTCTTGCTGGTCATACCAGACGCCAACTCATTATTGCTTTAATCTTCTTTTCATGTCCTAAGTCTTGGAACTTGTTTTGTTATATCCAAGTAGAGTTATTCACTAACATTTTTGAACAATATGATCTAAAATTATAAATTTAGTATGCAAATATTCTGCAAGAAAAATCTGCAAACATAAGTGTTTAGCAAAGTAAATGTTGCATTCTCTTGCTGGATTAATGTAAACTGCTTTGTTTGCAGGGTGTTTTGCCATCCCAAAACCAGGCCAATTCTCCAAGTGGAACTGTAGTATAGCCACCACACTCCTCCTAGCAAACCTTTGAACACAGAACAAGAAGTAATGACAATGGAACCAGGAGCTGCTGTTCAGCCAGAGAGCATCACAAATTCTTAAAAGGCAGAGTGTTATGTGAATCACATAGTGTTTTACAAAATAATTCTGTAATGAGTTATATTTTTACATCTAATACTTCGAAGGCTGCTCACCTAAGGAAGAATTTTGCTTAAAAATGCTTCTTTTGGTGCTACAATTAAAAATCACAATTGCTTTATATTTCTCAGTGTAATTTAATCACATACTTACATTCACACACGTCTACACTTGTAAAATAAAATGTTTCTTAAATCCAAGTAAGTTTAATGGTGTTATACATTAGAATATTACTGTTGAGTTTTTTCTTTGCACTGCTTTTTTTAAATTCAGAAATGGTTAACCTGAAAAGCTCTCATGGGAAATTAAAGTCATTACTTTCTGGTTTCACAAATGTAATTCAGGAAGATGGATGCTACAATCATAGGTTTTTCTAAAAAGATTGTTTGCACTTAAATAGCGTAATGCTAGTGGATAATTACTTTTAAAATGGGTGTTTGGGAACCCTCTAAAGTTATGTTATAAAGAAACAAATCCTTTGTATCAAACATTTTATTTTAATAAAGTTTCAGCTACAGTCAATCTGTATTATATATGTAAATAATGTAATTCAGTGATTGGGGAAATCATTACACTAGTAATTTTAATCATTTAAGGAAGTGATATTTCTAATTCAAAAAATACATATTAAACTATCTTGAATATGCAGTTTTGTTTACCTTCTGTTTAAATCACCTTTGATGTAACTTTTTGAATGTAATATTTTTGGTATGGACATGATTTAAATTCTTGTAGATGTTATTTCTGAAAACACTCAGGTCAGATTTAGGAGTTATTGAACTGGGCTTTTATTAGTAGGTGTTATTTTCCTGCACTTTATTCTAAATGGCTTTTCCTCAGTACGGTTTAGAACACTACAAAGTTCCTAAGCCTAGTTTTTAAAATATATGTTAATTAACAGTGGTCGTCACCATTTTCATGCATTGGGAAACTATAATTTAATATTTGTTAATGTGATTAGAAACACTAAAATGTTTATTTAAAATTATTGTAACAATAGGTTGCCACTGTAGAATAATGTGCCAAAGTACATAGTTCTCCTGTTTCAATGAAAAATGGATGCCTTGTTGGAGGATAAATATGAGAGTCTGCATAATTAAATTGCTGCTTGGTTAGTTCTATTAAACTAATTTTGAACACACTGAAATCTGAAGAATCCCCTTCAGTTTTTTTTTTTCTTGAAGAAAATGCTGTCTGCTTGATAGTGGAATTATGCGGCGGAGGATTCCTCTCTAGAGATCAGATCAAGAGGCAGAAAATTCCCAGATTCTTGTCAAAATGGTATCAGCATTTCAGCCATTGTGAAGCAAGCCCTGCCCCCTTTCTTGTAGGCCTGGAGCCTCAGGATGCACATAGAAAAAGAAGTAGAGCTTGCATTAGAACCATTCAGTTCTGCTTTCTTCACACCCTTCTTCTCTCTGCCCTCCTGCCCCCCCCCCCCCCCCAGCTCTATGAAAAGTCCTGATTTTTTTCCCCTTAACACATGTTGCAGAGGTATTTCCCTCTTTATCCCGTGCCAATCTTATTTGATGGCAGTTCTGAAGCAGAAGAACTGGGGAAGCAAAGAGCTTATTTGAATACTTGTGGTTGCAACATAGTCTCATTTTCTGGAGAAAAAAACCTGAGTGCTAAAGGCTGCAATTCACAGACCACTTTTTGATAAATAATGTTCTGTTTCAAAGTTGTATATGATTGTTTGTGCAGATAATCCTGCTTATTTGCTGGATTTCCACAGTTCCATATTTTTAACACTGCCCTGCACACTGTTTGAAACAGTGTTTCAGTAGTGTCTGCAATACGTTACTATCCTTTGGGCTGCATATAAGCCTTTTGACATACTCCAAAGTGTTTTGGGGCTTATAGTAACTACTTTCAAAATTAGTACGAAATAACTAAATAGTGCCAGGCTATTTTTGATTGCATAATACAAACTGCTAGCGAAAGCAAAATAAAAGTGCTATTTTGACTACTGTGCATTGGCAGGTTTAAGATTTTAGGGAAGACATTTTTATGCCTTAAGAAGAAATCATAGCTTGCTTCACACTTTGATAAGCCTTAAACATGAATTATATATTATAATGGCTGGATTCATACATCATGCTAAGCCAAAACTACATAAGCCATATAAAGGCTCAGCACAGTGTGTGAACCAGCTGCTTAAAACCCAGAATTTGGATTTAACTGTGAACACAATGTTTCTCTCCACAGAAGGCATTTCATCCTGTGGAGGCAGAAGGGGCTGCTTTTGCTGAGTCTGTCTCTGCAAAAATGGTTTTGGGGGAGGGCAGTCATCACAGAATTGCTTCTTCCCTTTCTGCCGCTGTGAGCCAACTCTGGAAATCGGTATGTATAATTATACTTTTAGAAGCAAGAAACACTAAGTGCTTCAACCAAACCATCTTCTTTAGAAATAAAAAATAATCATAATTCTGGAGTAAAATTGCTGTGGAACTAAAAAGCAGGGGGGAAAACAGGCTTTAAAAACAGTTAATACTGAGATCTAAGGAACACAAAAGTGCAGAGAATCCATTTTTTTAGTCTAAACCCAGGTCAAGTAATTCCTCTGAAAATTTCTGTGTGCGGAGAGAGGGGAAATCACTTGCTGGTGCTTACCTTTGCCTAATTCTGAAAAAAGTCCTCACTTTTGAAGAACAAAATTACAGCTTTTACAAAATAAAATAGTCTAGCCTATCAAGCATCTGAGTAGGCTTCTAGATAATGCTATGCTAAAACATTAAAAAGCTGAACAGGAACATTTGGGGAAACTTGTCTCTTCTCGCTATGCATGACACTCTCAAGCAGTTGTGCAGGTGTTTGTGCTACCATTTCTTGGTTAGGAAGTGACATGCTGCCATCCTGCTTACTTTTGCAATTATAAAATCTACAAGCTTTTTTTAAAAAAAATTACATTGTACTGTATTACAAGTTATTCAACAAGAACAGAGGTTGCCTTACTGTCAAATATCTAAGCATACCTAAAAACAGTATATGTTCTTAATTTTTTCCTTTTGTTTCCAAAATTGTCAAGTAATTTGTCCTCAACATGTTAATGGGAGATGAATCTCAGACTTAGTTTCCAATGAAATATAATGTGCTTCTGATTATGCATATATGTAGAGAATAATGTGAGAATATAATGTACAAGGGCTTTTATTGTTTAAGGGATGAAATCATAAAGTATATTACTCTATCAAATCAGACTTCTTCATATTGGGTGTATTTAGTCTGGTATTGCATCTTTGGGATATTAAACAAAAAATTTTTCATCACCTGTGGGAGACTGTGCCTGACTGTTAACGGGCAAAATCTCTTCTTGAGCATTTCCTTCTTGAGTGCTCTTAAGAGTAAACATTTTCATGTTTTGGCTATTTGAAGAGAGCTTTCAGACGTCTAAAGGCAAAGTAGCTGCTTTTCATGCAATAAAATAACGAATACATAATTAAAACATTTTTTAGAAGTTTGTAAATTGACTAGAGATTCTATGATATTTCAACTCTAATCAAATCACAATGCACTTTATTCAATACTATAGGTGCCTTGTTTTAAATTATAAGATCCTAGAATAAACTTCTAATGTTCTGGATATGACTAAAGCCAGTAACTATATAAAATAATGCTTCTGCGTTGTGAACATAAACATTCCTAAAGGATATTTTTCCATCCTTTGTAGCCTTTAGCACAGGGGGCCCCAGCCCGTGGCACAGTACTGTCTTGTTCAGAACCAGGCCATGCAAGCAGTGGGCGAGTGTGTGCGCGAAGTTCCACTTGTGTAAGCAGTGGGTGTTCACACAGGTGCGCGCAGACAAAAAGCTCCATTCGTGCGAGTGGTCAGCATATGTGCATACCTGCCACTCACTCAGAATCATTCCCTCTCCCACCAGTCAACCATGCTGGAAAGGTTGGGAGCTGCTGTTTTAATATAGGTTTAGATCCAGATTACATTTGAGAATTTTACTCACAATTTCCTGCTGGAGAGTTTTTTGGGAGGGGGAATTAATAGAGTTGGAAGTAATAGATAATAGAGTAGTAGGTAATAGAGTTGGAAGAAACCTTGATGATCTTGTCCAACCCCTGCTCAAGGAGGAAACCCAATACAATTTCAGACAAATGGTTGTCCAATCTCTTCTTAAAAACTTCCAGTGTTGGAACACCACAACTTCTGAAGACAAGTGGTTACACTGATTAATTGTTCTGTCAGGAAATTTCTCCTTAGTTCTAGGTTGCTTCTCTCCTTGATTAGTTCCATCTATTTCTTGTCCTGCCTTCAGGTGCTTTGTGGAAGCCCCTTAAATATTGGAACACTGCTATCATGTCACCCCAGCCCTTCTTTTCATTAAATTAGACACTCAATTCCTGCAACCCTTCTTCATATGGTTTAGCCTTCAGTCCCCTAATAATCTTTATTGCTCTTCTCTGCACTCTTTTCAGAGTCTCAACATCATTTTATATCAGGTAACTAAAACTGATACAATATTCATCCAGTTACAAAAATGCAGATGCAAAAATAATGCTCTTCAAATTCTAAATTTCAAATTAAGTTATCTTTCCCAAAAGAAAACCTTATCCTGAAGACTTGTTTGATTCTGTGTGAAATAATATGAAAATTCTTCAAAATAAATCTCAATCCTCCCATAGTTTTTGTACAAAATATAAATAATGGCAATATTACCAGTTTATGACTACTGAATCCTCAAGCAAATGATTGCCTTCATATAGGAAGAAAAATACAGCAGTTTTAGAACTTGCTTTATGTATTGTTATTGCATTTGTGTTCTTTTTGTGACCTTTCAGCAAACTTTACCATTGTGCTTTCCTTTCTCAAAGATATAGTCCAGTCTTAGCTCTCTTTTTGCCACTTTATTGAAGCATTGCTATTTGGCTGTTATTTAAGGTGCAACTGTTATACAGTATCAATATTTTTTACTCTAGTGCAATACATAGTTTTTTTCTTGTTACAGAGTAATGGTATTTGACAGTTCTTTGTGAGAGGACACGATACTTGATCTCATAATAATCCTATAAAAATCTTCTTAAGTTCTTTAATAAATTTATTTTTACTGATACCTTTATAAAAGCTAAATTAAATGCCCTTTAGAGTGGATTATTTCCTCCAACACAAGAGTTTCAAACATCATGGCCTTTTCAAAACAAATGTGTAACATTCTACATTGAACTATGCCAGTGTGACAATATACATCAACCGAAAGCTTACTTATACTTTTCTATACAAGAGAATATTGAGTAATGACTGATCTTTTCCATCTACCATCCAAAAACCTGCTAATTTATATTGTTTCAGAACACAAATTTGTATAGGTTATATTTAAATTTTGAAGTTTCTAAATGATAAAGATTGGCTCTGATTAACCCTACGATCACATGTACAACCCCCTCCCCCAGAAATTGACTTTTTTATTTATTTATTATTTATATATATCTATAAACACAATGTAGCATTTGATATAAAAGTTGGAACAATTCACTCCTGCCAGTGCAACACCGTTAAATAAATGATCATCTTTGAAGAAAACTTAAAAAAAAATAGGAACTCCTTTAAAAAAATCAAAGTGCATTCTGAGCTATAAAAATGGTGGTTACATTGTTGACTTGTAAAAAAAATGGGTAAGTCCCAAATAATGATTGTTGTAGCTTCTTGTTGCAGCATTTGAGATGATAAGGCACTATTGCCATTTGTGTACTAAAAATCCAGACAACTCATGACTGTTTTGATCCATCAAAACCTTCCACCTCGTCTTTCCAGAGCAGGCAGGTGGTACTGTTTCATAGGAGATTTAAATTCCTTCTGTTTTTCAGACTGTTGATGAGACAATAGAAGTTAAAATGAGCTATAATCTACTTGTACAAAATAGCATGTAATCTAATAAGCAAGGCAAAATTACCTTGCGATGTGTCCCAAAATATGTTATAGGCTGCAAAACCTGGACTTGTCTGTTGGATGCTGGGAGGGTAAAAACTGACTGAAATGAAGGATTAGGGTAAGAAGTCAAGTTGGTTACAGCAGGAACTGTCAGTTTTGGCAACTCAACTGCATTGGGAAGTCCATGAAGTCCCAGTGGATTCTCCTGGGCTTGCCTAAAAAAGTTCTTTTAAAATAAAAATACAAATTCAATTTTTGAAAATAATGTTATGTAGGCTAAATGTGTTTGATGACCTCACATATGCTTTAGGATGGTTTAGATATTGCAATCTGTGCAGTTACTCCCAAATATATGTAAAGTTCTACCCAAACTTTTCTTAAGGAAGATTGCTGCTTGCCTTTGGAATGATCTCATCATATGGAAGCATGGTGTCAGTGGAAGCCTTTATATAGTTAGATTAATAAAGGGAAAGAGAATTAAAAAGTAGCAATTACATTCTATATAGTTTTAAAAGAGTAGCCAAATTACGTTCCAGTATTTTCAGACTTTCAAGGGTGTATATGTTGAAAGTGGATTTTTGTTTGGAAAATTGGCTTACAGTCTTTGATGTTTTATTTGTAAAATTGAGCCTTAGAACCTTAGAAGATGTCTTCTTGGAATCTATCCTTAAAAGATTTCTAAGCCTTAGAATGACACAATTTCCTTCCTTTCTTATTCTTTAATTGGCATAAAAATTTATTCCTTGAGTGTGTAAACAAGGCGAGGAACATCCATCATATTTTACAAAGAATTAGATAAACCCTAGAAATGTGGTACTGCTAGCTTAAATCTGGTGTGTCTAGAATTCTGCAACAAAATACAGGAATGTACTATAATTAATTAATTTTTGTTCTCCAAGTATGATTCTGGGGTTTTGGGGGGGAGGGGGGAGGACATGAGGGTAGAGAATGGATTAAAATAAACTTTGGGAATTATTGGACAGATTTGTTGATATCCTTAATATTCCCAGAATAACTGGAAAGTTGGCAGAATCAAACACTCCATAATTATTATATATTGATTGCATGAACCTAGATGTAAATTGGATAATTTCCAGAAAAAGCATATGACTAGTTAATTCCAGCACTATTTTGAATGTCCTCAAAGACTTCCTACAAAATATCAGGAGCTATATATATATAGCATATCTAAAACTAAACTATCATACTATTCCAAGCATTGCATGCATAAGAGATAATGGTATAAATTAAAAAAAGCCTTTCTGAACCTGTAAATCACAAATAGGTGTTCAATAGTTAAAACGGCAAAAAAATCATTAAAAATGCTAGAATCTTTTGATACAATAATTCTGAAACATGTTTCACATGTCTAAGATGATTAATTAAAGGACAAAATTGACATAGAGTGTGTGAACAAAAATGGCAGTAATTAAATAGGTTTATTACTCAGTCTTTGATTTAAAGATTACCTGCCTTTGATCCTCCTTTGAAACACGCCGCAAGCCAATAGAATCCCTTTCTAATGGATTTTCTACTAATCTCATTTTTCGGTGTATGGTTAAAGCTTGTTTCTCTGCCAACCTGTTTAGTGTAAGTCAGATAAAATCCCATATATGACCTTTAAATTTTTTCCCATCAATTAGACAATCAAATCACTTACTTCCCTCCTTTAGACATATTAAACAATGACTTGAAATGCAAATGCTAAATACTTAAAACTAAGTATTAACTTAAATTATTAGCTTAGTTGATCAAATAGGTTCAAGCTTAGTTATTTTAAATCTTAGCTAGCTTGATACATTTTTCAACTGAATATTGATTCAAAATCAAATTTTATTTTACATTCCCTTACCTTAATTCTCTGAAATAAGGGTGTTGAAGTGCTTCATGAGCACAGATTCTCTCATCAGGATCATACTGTATCATTGCATACATAAGTGTCAGGCTCTTATTAGACAGGTTAGGGATAAATGGAGAGATTCCTTTTCCTTTTCTGGTGGGGAAATCAAAACTCATCACTCTTGACCTGCATAAATCCAGTGAAAGAAAATGCATTCCTGTCAGCAGAGTCAGTCTTATTGCTATTGAAAGAATACAAAAGAAGTTTCAGTTTCAAAGCATTTTTTGTTCCTGTAGTTAGCCATACAGGGCAAACTACATATGTATGACTATATCATGAATATCACTACAATTTAATGCTTCTCGGATTAAAACACAAATATGATTGGGCAGACTTGCATTATTATGCCATAAAATCACAGTGGTTTTCTTCAGATCCATTTGATACTACCCTCACTTAAACATGGGAAGTCAAAAGTAATTTTAAATTTTGCCTTCCAGTTTATCCAGATGATAACTGCTGAACTGGAATAAAAGGGACACTTAATAATCCCTTAAAAAGTTACTCAGTAAAGCTAGTTTAGTCTATATAGCAGCAGCCCAGCTAAGTGACAGCACCTATAATCTTAATTTATTTTGAAAATCCAAAACAGAGTTGATCAATACATGGATAGGAGACCCATAAGAAATACCAGGTCTGCAGGCAGGACTGGGAAATCCCTTGTATCACATTGCCAAGAAAATTATTTATGCTTATCTCAAAAAATTAACAGAATTCGATTCGATTGAATGTTCACTGAATGCTAAAGCTACACAGAAGAAGTTATAATAATTTATAACAAAGGGGTCTTCCTACAGCTTTCAAATTCTGTGACTTGTGCAAAAAGTGCTACAGTAGGAGCACTCCTCAAGGGAACAGTAATATAAAATAGTCTTAATACATTATGAAAAGGGGACATGAAAATAACGTGGTAACTCTGGTTCTGAATTCTGAGAAGTAGACCCTGGCTATATGCTTTGTTAGATTTGACTGTGATCAGCTGCAAGATAATAAACACATACTTCTAATGTAATTTTAGGCAACCTTAAATAAAACGAAGTAATGAATATCAAGTGAAACCACACTTACTGTTTGAACTTATGAAGAATCTTCTTAGGAGGAGTACCTATGATATCGTGAATTTTTGATATTTGGTCCAATTCATTTGATCCAGGAAAAAGTGGGTGGAAACTGGGAATAATAAAGAATTGATAATGTGATAAATACCAAACTCTGTGACAAGCTTATGTTTTTATTATGAGAAAGCTGTTCATCCTTGGTATTAAATAATATTGTTGGTACTAAATAATAACATTACAGCATTATATAAACATCTTTCAAAATAAAAAGGGAAAAAGCATCAAAAGAGACAAGTGATCGAAAAATGTTATCTGTACAATTCAGCCTGTAACTATCTAAGAACATAAATATTTCATCAGCTAGAAATGAAGTATTTGTTGCTAAAGCCTGTAATCCCCCAAATTCAATATAATATGCACATGGCATGCCTTTGCCTTAAGGGTCCTCCTTAGAGACATATTTACTATTGTCTGCAGCTAGATAACGGCCACTCTTGAAGCCTGGATATTAGGCTGGATATTAGGACTCTCAGCTAAATTTCAAATTATTTTTCCTTTCTTCATTAAGCTGCTGATGTTCTTTTTTCTAACCATTGACTAAATCCAGATGTACAGCAGCAAGGCTGTTGTATTATACACGTTTATGTTAAGCTGAATCACAAACCCCATAGTTAATACAAGTTCTATGCCAGATAAAAACACAATGATTAACAATGACAAATACCCAAATATTTCTTATTGAGACAGATTTAAGTCTACCTTAAATCTGACTCCCTGTGCTATTATGCAATTCATCAACCAGCAATGCAGACATTTGAACTGGAATTTTCTCCATGTGTGTTTTAATGTTGAGCCTCAAATCTTCCCCAGTTTTATATTTGTATTTTTTCCATAATACAGCCTATAACTATCTCATATCTGCACAGGCCTATACTTCAGAAGAGTTTCTTTATTCTTTTTAATTTATCCACTTTCCTTCTGATAAATAACCTACCTTGCAATTTCATAAAACACACAGCCAGCACTCCAGATGTCCATTTTATAACTGTAGTAACCATCTGTAAGAAGACATTCCGGTGCCCTATACCAGCGGGTAGAGATATATTCTGTATATGGCTGCTTAGAATGTATGGTCCTACAGGATCCAAAATCTCCAAGCTTGAGAAGATCTTGCTACAATAAGACAATTTGTGCATCTCAAGTGATCAGGCATTAAAATATTTACAAATAATGAACTACTACTAATACTTCAAGATGAAATTAAGGAATTTTTATTTTAGAAATAGCTGTTCTATTTTTGAACAGAAAAGGCTAATTTTTTAAAGTGATCTAAATTGGCCATATTTGATTTTTGAATCCTTGGCCACAAGGCAGCCTTTGGAATAAATGAAAATACTTATAGGCAGCCTCAAGATGCTTTTCCAAAAGGCAACTGGACTTTCTTATTTTTTCTTTGAAAATGTTTCACTTCTCATCCAAGGAGTTTCTTCAGTTCTGCATGAGAAGGGAAATGTTTTTAAAGAAAAACAAAAACCAAAGAAAGCCCAGTTGCCTTTTGGAAAAGCAATTTTGGAATAACCATAATCTGGATGATTGAGAATCTAGATAAATAGGTAGTTCTTTGTTAAAGACCATTTGTTCAGCAACCATTAGAAGTTGCAATGACACTGAACAAATGCTATTTATGATTAGTCCTCAAAATTCCAGCAACACATTACCTCCATGGCTATGTGATTATGATCCATGCGCATGGCTGCACCACATGCATGCTGCACCAGCTTGCATGCGTTACTCTGACACAGCAGCAACCTCTTCCCAGCTCACATGCACTCACCACAGCAATCCTCCTCCCAATCTATGGTACTCACCTGCCCTCCAGCCTGCTTGCAAGCTGCCTGGAACTTGCAACTTTCAGTCTGTTTGCTCATTGACTTTGCCTGTGGAAGCTGGCAGGAAGTTGCAAGTCATGGTCATATAAAATCCTCACTTAATGATAGCCAAAGAGAATGCTAGGCTGCTGTTGCCAAATGATGCAGTCATTGTGGCATGTTTCATAACTGTAGCATTTAGTGATGGAAATTCTGGTCTCAATTACTATCAAACCTTTGAACATTAAGTCTTCAGAGAATTGCTAGCTGCTAGCACAATTTACTTAAGAAAAATCAAATTTGATTTTTTTACAGCCTGTTTCAAAAATGACTGACTTGTCTAAAAACATATTTTTTTCCATGAGTAATAAAAAAACCGGATGCTAAAAAGCAAAACAATATTAGATCTAAAGCAAGTATTTGACAGTTTAATCACCAGAAAGTTGAAATGTACTTTTTCCTATAGACATAAGATGCATATTCAAATACCAGTCCAAACAAACAAACATTTTGAAACATAAGAATTTTGGTACATTCATATTGCTCGTGTTTTAAAATTATCAAAGACAACCTACCTTTATTAATATGTTTTCAGGTTTCACATCTCTGTGAAATATTCCGTTTCTGCATCAAGATAAAAATAAAAGCAAAGGTAAGTATGTTTATATTAAGGCTGTCGTACAGAAAGCCACATATCTCTCGGGAGAATTTGAGCCTACTCCTTAGTTTCAATATAAGTTGTTGCACCCATGCCCCCAAAAATTATCCATAAAGCTCTGAAGATATTCCAGAGGAGAGATGACAATTAGAAAAGAAAAGCTAGTCAAAGCCCATGACACCTTTATATATGTTAGATACATGAATGATAGTCTACAAATTTCAGCCCATTTAAATATCCAAAATGTAAATTTGCAAGCAAATAAGTTAAAAACCTTTCCTACCTGTGTATATGATCAAGAGATTTGCATAACTGGTACATATAATTCATTATTTTCTTTTCAGGCAATGGTTTTTTCCTTCCTAGAATTTGGAAATCAAGTTTACTGGATTTTTTTAGAAATAAAGATGGCTTGAGTATAAAAACAGCTTGCAATGATTTTGGCTAATTACTGATTTTTAAATCTAGTTATGAAATAGCTTACCCATGACCTATACCCATGTCCCCTAACTTAGCCAGGATATTCAAAGCTGCTTTGTTCAGAGCACCTTGTCCACCTTCAGGGGGTGCACTATTGGTATGTTTTCCTAAAAAGACAAAACTGGCTACAGGACTCATATCTGAATCACTGTTAAGGTTCAATTCCTATAATGTGTTCTCTATAAGGCTACCTTTAAAAGGGATTTGCAAATCACAACTGATATGAAACACAGTGGGCTAGGATGCCTTTTAGACTATATTCTACTGGTCATATATCAGTTGCAATGGTTTTTTATTCTAATCTGAAAAATTAGAGCAGGACTCAAGCTTTTATATTTCATGCAGTTATTCATTTCGAATCATGAGTATTTGAAAGCAGAATAAACCCTCATTTTATATACAACTGCTGTAACAGAGATAACAACTTTGTATCACAATGAAGTAGTAGTTTTCCAGTTGTTGACATACAATTTCCATCTTTGACTTACTATCCATGCTGCCTTGGCTTTGGTTGATGGTAAGGGTGGGGCATAGATTTAACAATTCTTAATACAGCAAATATATGTAGTGATTAATAAACTATGTTCTCCTTAAATTTTTTTGCAGACTGGCCCTTCTTTAGGATAGCATTCTCTTTCAATATATGTAATTATGGAGATACTTTACCTATATTCCAAAACCTCTCTCTGCCTTAACTTATTCTGAAGGAGATCAACTGCCACCAGAAAGAGATTCTATGTACATCCACGCTAATCTGAAGGTTTTTCCATAACTGCAAGTAAAACGCATCTTTTTTCAACCTGCAGCAGCATCTTACTTAATATTTGGTTAAACTAAACATGCAACTGTCTCACTTGTGAAAAAAAATTGCTTGAGACATTGTTCAGATATTGTATATGCTACATACCTTTGATCAATTCATAAATATTCATGTCCATAAGTTCACATATTAATGCAACAGCACCAGCTTTCTTGTCACTAAAACGTTGGTTTTAATGGAATTATATGAAAGAAAGAAGAATAAGTTGTATAAGCACTTCAAGAATGGGACAGATTTTTTTCAATTACTTTTTAAAAGTGGTTCTATTAGTTTTCTGTATATTTCATTAGCTTTTACATATGCACAAAAAAAGCATTGTATGTTAAATAGAGCAGTTATATGCCACAAAATTCAAAATTGCTGAGGAAGAAAAGGAAAATCAAGTTCATTTTGCCATCTCATCTTTCATGATTTTGAAAAAAATATTGGAGAAGGCTTATGAGGATGACTCTCTTTAAAAATCCTCTTCCTCATCAAAATTGTTTACCAACTTCCCCAGCATTTTTTACAGCAAATCAGCAATCAAATGTTCTAGGAAACAAAGGTTTCCAAGAGATTCATACTTATGCACCTTTGATACACGGCTGAATTAGTTTTTCAATAACCAAAATAAGTCTAATAAGTAGACTACTGAATGACAATTTTGAGGAGGAAAATCACCCTTCTATCAGTGTGATAGTAATAGTGGGGTATGAAAGAGAAAAGGAAGAACCTGTAGCAGAGGATAAACGTTTGATAATCTCGCATGGCTTGCAAATTGCTCACCCTTATGTACATGATAAAAGTAAATCCATGCTGTACCTGCATATATTTTATTTAATTAGAACCAACATTATTGAAAAAGCAAAAACATTGCTTTCGATGTTAATGTTTTTTTGCCTGCCCTAATCAAGAGATTACTTACTGAAGTGTATTATTTGTGTCATCCTCAGAAACTATAGATTTTAAGCAAGCAACATAATAATCTATGAACACACAAATATGCCTTATAACATCAGATCATAACCCATCTTGACCAATTCTGTGGTCACAGATGGGGATCTTTTTGAGTCCTGGAACTTGACAAGTAACTGTAACTGGACAAGTCAAGTATAAACTTGATACAATTCTACATGCTGTTACTGAACTACAACGTTCTGTAATAGGTGAGGAAATTGCCTTGCTCTATAAAAGACTTTCTCCCTGAGAATTGGATATAGACATCTGCAAGATACTGCTGCTTTTATTAAAATGATGAAAGCAGTATTACTCCACAAGATCTTTTCCTTTTGAATATGCATGCAACAATATGACATATATACAAAAGGGCCAAGGGTTTATCTCAATGTTGCTTTTGTTCTGCCCTCACCTGCTGCGACAGAAGCTGCTGAACCTTGGTAATTATGTGCCTTCAAAAATTTATCTTTTTTAAAATAAAAAGATTTATATTATATTTTCTCACTTCAGAAATGGTTAAATAGAACAGTTGTCTGGCAAAATGTGTAGTGAGGATTGTGAGGTTTCTCTTTCATGGTAACAAAATACATTAGCATGTTCAGAATATTCCTTATTGTCAACTGATAATCTCCATTGGCAGGTGACCAGATATGACTTTTCATACAACACAATAAACAGAATCTAATGACACATATCTTCAAGTAATCCCCCACTGCAAAATCTCAAATAAGCACCTTGCAGGAATGAGATTGGATTCTGCATGTTGCCAATTAAACACTTCAATTCTTGAGCCTCTAACTGCATTTTTCTTGTATTTCTCCCTTGACACTATTAGTATTGTCAGCGGCCAAGTATGAACATAGAATAAAACTAATGTGATTTTTAAAGTCTTTATAGATTGCCAGATCAATCCTGAGAGCCTATATCACATACTGTCAATAGAACAAAATGATGGCTCAAAGACTACTCAACTCCAAAGTTCCAAAGTTAAGTAGTCCACACAACCTACTCCCTACTTGCTGTCATCTTGAGAAAAGATGCAAGAAATGACAAAATCTCATTCTACAGCGAACGGTCCCTCTCTCAAAATAATTTTAATCAGAATGAGATTTGTTTGATAAATAGTAATTGAATATTTCTATAAAACATCTGGTGATCAATATGAATGGTACAGAATGGGAATGAAAAAAAAAGCATGTATCACTTACAAAATCACTTCATGCAATGTAAGGATATTTTGATGTGGATTTAATCGCCTTAATGCTTGAATTTCTCTCAGGTTATTCACATGGTCAATGCTAGTAGAAAAGATTAGATGAAAAATAAACAACTGTCATTTACACATTGTTGCATATATTTTCCTAAATCACACAAAGCATAGGCTGTAATAATCTCTTGCAGCATGTTGCCAGCTTATCTGGGTGCGGTGTGATATTTCATGGCTACTGTATGAGATATTACTTGCAAACTAAGTACCATTATTTTTTATATGGTGGCATAGAAAACGTATAGTACACACTTCTTTCAATTATTATGAGTTCTTGAGAAGGAAATCTCAAATCTGCTGTATTTACTCAACACTGTAGGGCATGCTACAATCAAGAAGTACTATTGAACACACATTATTTAAGACATGTCAGGAAAAAATCTTCATCTCCAAAGGCAGCTAGATTTTACATATGCATTTACAAACAAAACAATGTTTTAAAATCAACTTTTGACAATGAAGATTTAAATAAAACATTTATATACTAAAGCTAAACAATAAACTAAAATGGAAAAGAATCAGACTTTACCTTTCAAAGTGCTGTTTCATTTGTTTACAAGCATAGCAACGTCCATTGTTTAGACTCTGTACCTTCAGAACATCAGAAAATGTTCCCTCTCCAATTTTACCAATTGTTTTGTATTCTAAAAAGGAACAATAAACTAGAAGGTAAATTTATATATTTAAATTCTGTTTTATCAAACATGACCATAATTGTAGTTTACTTATTCTAACAGCACACTTGTTTCCTCCTCAGATTATAATGTATGTCTTTCAGGTAATTCCCATATTGTTACTGTAGTTGTTTAAAATTAAGGTTCACACCTCTGCACTGGGAAAGGATTATACCAGTATCATTTATTGAGAATTATATGAGAAATTCTATTTGTGATTGCTAAAATAACATTCAAGTGCTTTCTATCAGCTACATCTCACATACCTATCATGGTCTTGAGAAAATCTGCAGAATAAAAACCGTGTAAGTTTTAGTTTAGTTTTTAGAAACCCTAGTTTGTTGTTTTCACTTCACTAGATATAAATTATATATTTATAAAAAGAATTAGTTATTGTGCTTAAATAATATCAGTACCATCATTAAAATGGACTTGCATACAGTTTAGCATATCTTAGGACATTATCAATAATCATCTAATGTTCCAAGCATGTAAATTTGAAGAGCTTAATTCTAATGTTATTCTGTATGACCAAGAATAACTTATAAATCAAACTAATCTATGTGCTATAGGCTCACAAACAATATTCCTCCTCATTCATTTTTTTTACTTTTCTGCTGAGTTATACATCTGGAAACTGACCCAATTCTGACTATTTTTTGTATATACCTTTCTGCTCTAAAATTTGGTTTAGTCTTCTCCCATTCATATCACTTGTACAGCACTTCCTATAATTCTCCATTGCCTAACTTCTGTGAGAATTAACTTCTTCAGACTGCATCTAGCTGTAAAGAGAAGCATTTCCAATATAACTGTACTAGTAACTCATATTTAATAAGACTTTCCCCCTAACCATTGTCATGTTTCATGTTAAAAAAAGTATCATATTCTACAGTGAAGGAAACTTCCATTTATGGTTTGTTTATAGTATCTTATAATCAAAAGGGTTGGAAGCAACCTTGGAAGTTTTCTAGTCCAACCTGCAACTTACTTTATGTAAAACATCCAGTGTTTATTTGAATTCCTCATTTTTATTCAACCACAATCTTTGTCTATGATAAAGTCAGCTACTTTTTAATAGAAAGGAGTTGTGTTATTGATACATTTTTTTCCTATATGAAAAGTGAAAATGAAAATGAAATAAAATCAAAAGACTGTGTTCATGGTACACACAGTTACGTACTCATATGTATGGTCACGTGAAAAAGAAAGTACACCCTCTTTGAGTTGTATGGTTTTATGTATCAGGACATAGCAAAAATCATCTGGTCCTTAGCAGTTCTTAAAAGTAGGTAAATACAACCTCAGATGAACAACAGCATGTGACATATTACATTATGTCGTTTATTTTACAGCCAAAATGGAGAAGCTACATGTGAAAAACTAATTATAGGTAGTTCTCAAGGTAGTTCACTTAAGAACCACTTGCACTGAAAAAAGAGACTTATGACCATTTTTCACATCTAGGACCGTTGCAGAATCCCCATGGTCATGTGATTTACATTTGGATGCTTGACAATTGATTCGCATTTATAATGGTTGCAGTATCCCGGGGTCATGTGATCACCTTTTGTGATCTTCTGACAAGCAAAGACAATGGAGAAACCAGATTCACTTAACAAGTGTTACTAATTTAACAAATGCAGTCATTCACTTAACAAATATGGAAGAAAGCTCATAAAATGGGACAAATGCACTTAACAAATGTTTCACTTAGCAACATAAATTTTGGGCTCAATTGTGATCATAACTCAAGGACTACCTGTACACCCTTACTGCTTCCACAGGTATGAAGAGGCAAAGTAGCAGCCAGGTGCTGCTAGTCAAGTGTCCTTGATCAATTGATCATAGCAAGTGTGACTACCTTTATAAAAACCAATGTTTTAAGAGTTTTACTAGTCTCCAACATTGAGGTGTGTGTTAACACAATGCCAAAGAGAAAACACATCAGTAATGATTTTAGAGAAGCAATTGTTGCTGCCCATCAATCTGGGAAAAACTATAAAGCAAACAATTTCCAAACAATTTAAGGTCCATCATTCTACAATGAGGAAGATTATTTGCAAGTGGAAAACATTCAAGACAGTTGCCAATCTTCCTAGTAGTGAATGCCCCAGTAAATTCACTCCATGGTCAAACTGCAATGTTAAGAGAAACTGAAAAAAAAGCCAAGAGTTACATTTCAGACTCTTTAGGACTTAGTATGTTAAATATTA